TATAGGCAATATATGAAAAAATACCTTGTTTATTTGTAATTTTCTTTACTATTGTACATTAAAGGTTGAAAAGATGTTCTTTGTGAAAGCAAAACTCAAAGAAGAGTTTATTTTTTCTTCTATTACTGTTGTGGTATTATGAACTTTATAATTTAGGATTTTTAAAGGTTTGGAACTCGGCTTAAAATGAAGGCCAATGTTTGATAGATGCATGTTTGGACGCACCGCCTGCTTTTAATGTTTATTTGATAATCATTTTTCTTCACTGTTTCTTTAAATAACTTTGAAAATTATTATCAATTATAACAATTACATGTTGAAAATGAAATATTTCCTCCAGAATCTGTGGTTGGCATAGTATTATTCCAATATTATGTCCTGTAGCCTATTATAAATATGAACCTTTTTAATGTTTAAGGCAAGAGGTTATGCTATTTCCCTTTATGAACAATAATTGTTTTTAAGTTTTCACTCTCTTGGGATTTGATAATAAAAAAATAAGAAAAAAAATCCTTGTCCTGTCAGGTCTCATAATTCAATGGAAAAATGCACATGTCCACAATTATTTAGGAAACTATAAAGATCAGTGCAATATGATACTGAAGTGATAAAAAAAAAAGTACAGGAAGAAGGAGTAAGTAAATTCTTTTTGTAGGGAGAAAATGAGACATTATATTAGAGACCCAAGGAAAGATGAAGTGAAAATATTTGTGAAGAAGGGATTGGAAAAATGGGAATCATATGGCTTATTTTGATGGATGACTGATGAACATGTGTTTAAGAGGCAAGGAGTGGCAGGGATATTCAAATAAATATATTCATTGTCTCACGAACATGATGCTTGTAGGCTCTGTCTTAAAATCCTTTGTTGTTATTAAAATGTATATGATATAACTGGTGAGTGCTTTAAGGGCACAGATTATGTCTTCTTCATCTCTGTACCTTAAACATGTAGCGCAGTGACATAAACAGGATGCATGTTATAAATTGCTACAAGAATCAATAAATAGTTAAAATGAAATGAAGCAAGCATTCTGAGTATTGAAGTGGATCTTAGAAAGTAATTGAGCCGTCTCAGACATTCCCCAAATCCTTCCTATATAAATACTTAATAAATGATTTTGTAGCTTCTCCTTAATAACTTTTAGTAATGTAATGCTTTGTGTCTGATAACATAGGGTTGCCTGCAGTTAGAAAAACTCAAATAGTCACAAACATTCCTGAAAGATTGCTGAAATATTCTGTTAGTCTGCCAGCCATTTCTGGAACAGAGCCTCTAGGCTGCAGTCCCTTGCCCTTCAGTCCCACCATCCCCAACAGCATAGTGATGCCAGGCTCTGCCAGTACAGTGACCTCACCCCTGACTATAATTGTGCCCAGGTATAGAGAGCAGATTTAAGCCGGTGTAATAACAGTATCCTGACCACCCAGCAACAATGGACTGGGTTAAAAATATAGACACGTGGACCCAGTGAGGCTAATTAACATCCTCTCAGAGATCATTGGAATCATATCAGAGACACAGCCAGCATTTCCGGTGGCTGATACTCTACCATATGAAACTCGGGAGGCGACAACAGCCAAGACTTCTGAAACATATGAAAAGTCAAGTGGTAGAAAGAAAACTAGAATGAACATGAAAAGCATCTCTGAGGCTGAAAGAAAGGAAATAAATGCTGATGACATGTGAATCCCCGTATTCCTGCTTCTTTTATGGATGGACTGCTGATAATTAGCATCAATTAACCAGTATCTTTTCCATAGATGGTCCTTTTAGGTTGCAGCTATTGTGTGTGTGTGTGTGTGTGTGTGTGTGTGTGTGTGTGTGTGTGTGTGTGTGTGTTGCTTAAACGGAGTTTCTGTTATCTGCAACTATAGAGCCAATGTAATTGGCAACCTGGTTTATACCTTTTAGATCACCAGTCTCAGTCGTGGTTAGTCATTTCTCTGCTTAATCAAGATCCAAATCTATGATCACTGCCTTTGGCCAGGATTCTGATTCCAATCCCTGTTCGCTGCCTTGCTTGTTGGTCTGCATTTGTATTCTGTGTTTATCAGCTGGATTTAACTGGCTGAGGGGTTTAGAAGTTACATAAATAGAACATTTGACATAACTTTTGAATGAATGACCCATAAAATTTAAAGAAATGTTTTTAAAATCTAAGCCATATTATAGGGTGGAAAGTTGGAAGAATTAATTCCTTTTTAATACTCTGACAGTTCATGAAGTATTTCCCAGTGCCAGACTTTTTTTTTTTTTTTTAAAGCCTCTTTGTTAAAAGAGTGTAGATTTCTAATTATTATTGGGCACATTTAGATTTAGATAAAATAAATCAGCTGAACTCTTGATAGAAAAAGCAAGAGCTGACATATAAATGTTTTTTCAAAGTTACTAGAAGAATATCAGGATGTTTGCCAGTTTACTAGGAAGCATGTGTGAGGGACTCATGACTGCTGAGATGATGTGACACTAAGTCTAAAGTTGCTTAATATTGTCATGAGAATATGAAAGAACGGGAAAGTGGCACTAACTTCATAGCCTTAAGAAACCCATTAGTAATATGGGTACAATGAAACATCACCTTACAAAGTTTTAGAAGAGTAGATGGAACTTAAAATCATTGACTGTAAGGCTTTAACACTTGTGTTGTGATAAATTTTCTAAGTTGTCTAACCACAGACTTTTGATATTGTTTGTGGATTTGTGCAACTGGTGACTTAAATTAATATATATATATATATATATATATATATATATATATATGCGCTTATATCCATTAAAAATAAAATGGTTTAAAAATAAACTGGAGTAAACTAGAAGAAAAGTCTTTGCAATGTATATTAATAACACAAGACTATATCTAGAACTGTTAGAGGGGAAAAAAACAACAACAAGCATAACCCAGCATGTATTTTTCCATATGTATATCCTGGAGATACTCTAGTATAATATAGAGAAGTATACAAGAATATACATTTTTTATAGATGGCTTAATTACAATAGGGAAACATTCCTAAACAACTGACATGTTCCGGTGAGGAGAATCTCTGCAAGAAAAAGAATGAAATGCAGCTATGTGTAACAGCACAGCTAAACCTCAAAAATGTATCAGAGGAAAAAAAGCCGTAGAATGATTTGTGGAGTATGATATCATTCAGATAAAGCAGTAAAATCTAAACTAATAAATACAGCATATTGTTTGGAGATACATATGTCATAAAAATAAACTGACACCATGGGGTTATTTTTGATGCTTGTAATTTCTGGTGAGGGAGGAAGGGAAATGTGACCACTGAGGAATACATTGGAATTTGAATGTTATAATTATCCACTTATTTCTTAGGCTGCATTGTAAGAAGGAAGATTATGTTTTTATATTGCTATGCAATGTTTCACAATAAGAATACCTAAAACAAACAATCCTATACAATAAAGAGCTAATATGCTAATTAGACCAAACAGCAGAACGACCTTCCTTACAAAGGGGTGGGGGGAGTGAGCTGTGAGGGCTAAGCCCCTTGCACGAATTTCATGCATCGGGCCTCTAGTTATAAATAAAATCATGAGAGAAAATGGGTAAAAGAGGGTTTCCTTTTTTTTTATATTTTTTTTAGAAACATGGACAGCTCAAAAATTTTGTTTTAACAATGAGGAAAAATTTGAGGAATATGGTGACTTGCTGAGATGCCAAACTAAGAGTGGCTTAACAAAAGGAATTCTCTGTGTAAGATGCTTTCAAGTATGGAAACAAGTAAAACAAAATTCTAATAGAAAACTCAAGAACAGGATCAATGCTGTTGGGTGAGATTTTGAGTTGCCTAGATCCGTGGTCGGCATACTGTGGTTGGAGAGCCACATGCGGCTCTTTGGCCCCTTGAGTGTGGCTCTTCCACAAAATACCATGGCCTGTGCGAGTCTATTTTGAAGAAATAGCGTTAGAAGAAGTTTAAAAAATTTGGCTCTCAAAATAAATTTCAATCATTGTACTATTGATATTTGGCTCTGTTGACTAATGAATTTGCCGACCACTGGCCTTGATGATCTGAGGCTGGGCTTCAGTCGAGGGCAGTTTTCACATACAGTTCATTTGTTTCCTTCTGTTCCTCAAGATTTAGGTCTAGATCCTAGGATGGGTTAATTTTCCAGGACACCTATGCTTGGCAGAGATTGAGTTGCTTCCTTTGTTTCCAAAATTTTGTGTGTCTGTAACAAGTACTGCCCAGGCTCTCAGCTGCCTCCTCCAGGTCAGATGTTGCCCAGGGAAGAGTGGCTTTACAAGTTGGTCTCACCCCTCTGGATTCTGTCTTCTATCAGATCTTGACCTAGGTATTCATTATCACCTCGTTAATTCTCAGATGCTTTTAGGAAGATTTTTTTTTTTAAATGTTTCCACCAGATTTTATTAGTGTTTTTATTAAAAAGATCTGAAAGCATAGAAGTGTTATCCCATTTTACATTCCTGAAACAATTCATTTTCTTCTTTTTTATTATATTTTCCCCAGTAATTTTGTGTAAAATAGGAAATAGGAGTATATGTTTCAACTACAATTTTAATCAAGTTAAAAAAATCAGATGTTGATATAAAATAGAACTTAATTATGTACTTTCCTATAGCTTCCTTCATTTTAATAAGCTGGTCTTGGTGGAGTAAATGGGTTTATTCAAAAAGCCCTGTATTTGGACTCATAGTTTTCTTCCACAGCACTCTTCCCTAAATCGTCTTTTTACACTGAATGAATTTACTAATTTCGGTCAGGGTTTTTGAGTTGTAAAATAAAACCCCAACTAAATTATTTTTGCTCTCCAAGTTCTATAATGCTTTAGGTCTACAAATTGAAAGAGGTAGCTACTATCAGTTCTATTATAGAATTGCAACAGCAAACCAAGGGAACAAAGAACCCTCTTTAATGAGGATTTTCATATTTGGTGTTCCTAAGTATGATTTATGATATTTAAATATTTTTCTTTCTAATTAGGTCTCAAAATACCGCAAATAGCCATGCCTGAAAACAAGACCATTTCCTCTTCTCCCCGGGGAGATGATCAAACCAAGAAAGGTAAATGTACCCTAAAGTGGTTTTCTTTGAAACTAGGTCAGAGGTAAATGCAATTCAGTCCCTCACAGAAGGAGGCAGCGTCTTCTGGCTCAGGGGTCCCAAACCCAAACTCACTGGGGCAGGTGGGTGAGGGTGGCGAAAGGAATGCATAGGTTTCAGAAAAACCCACTGTCCGGATTAGTTGGTAAGTTTAGGATATTTGTAATTCGAAGACATTAGATCCAATATTTGGAATGTTGGCCCAAACAGTGATTATCAGTTAAAATTAATGTATGTCCCTTTGGCATCATTCCTCCATTAAGCTCCCCACCCTCCATGCAAAACCACCAACCTCTATAGAGAGCATTCAGTGCATCGAGCAAAGCACTGAGGTGTCTATATTGAAATCCCAGGACTCGATCAGGCCTCCATGTTTGTTACTATGTCTTGGTGGATTTTAAGCTTTATGCCTAAAGCAATCAATCATTGCTGGCTGAGGGAAAGAATCTAATAACCCTCCACCCTTCAGATATGTTTGTCATTAACTCTGTCATTAAAATCACCAACACACTGTGTGAGGTCTTCTTTATTAATTTCTACCAGTTATGATTTAACATATTTTTCTCAACATCAACATTAAATTCTTTCCTTATGTGGTGTCCATCATCATGAAACTATTGCGGTCATATCAAAATACTTCTTAGACTATAAATAATTGGCCCCTAAGTTTTCTTTTTAGTTTGCTCTTGTCATATGTTCACAATTGAATTAGAGAATGTTTATGCATTTTCTATTCTCTGAGAAAAAATAACTTAATATTTTAATTATGTTTCTTGAATGTTTGGCTGAATTTGTGTTTTAATTTTTAGGGAAATGTTAAACTATTGATATAAAATATTTAGGAGTTATAGGGCTATTTAGACTTTCTATTTATTCTTAATCCCTATAGGAAAATTATAATTTTTTCATTTAAAAACTCATTCATTTGGTTAAATTTTAAATGTATTAATGCAATAGTGTTAATAATGTCTTATTTATGTATCTTCTATATGCAGCTATTCCTCCTTTACATTCATAACACTTGATTTGTTTCTTCCGTTTCTTCTGTCTTGATCAGTTTTGCCAAATGTGTTCATTTATGTTCACCTTTCCAAAGTAATAATTTCTGACCTTTTTAATCATCTCTAGTGTGGATTTTGTTTTTGGTGGTTTTCTTTCTATTTCATTAATTTCAGATATTATTACCCCTTCTACTTTCTTTAGGTTCCCCACCCACCCTTCCCAGACACACATATTCTTAATTAGGATACTCAGATCACTAATTTTTAGCTTTTTTAATTTTCAAATATAATTACTTAATGCTACAAATCTCCCTTGACATATCAGGTAAATAATAAAAAGAATTGGAGTGTTATATTATACTTCAATGAAGAAAAGATTTACTCAGTATGTAGCTTTACTTTACTATAAAGCACTAATAAGCACTGCTGTGTTTAACTTTAATTCACACACCATGAAAATTTACCTCTTCGAAGTGTACAATTCAACATTTTTAGTGTAAGCACAATATTGTGCCACTATCACCATCATCTAATTCCAGAACACTTTCATAACCCGCCAAAGAAGCCCTATCACCTTAGCAGTCCCCTCCATTCTCCCTCCACCAGCCCCTGGCAACCCCAAATACACCTGCTTTGTGGGGAGATCATGGGCCTGGCTCACAGCTCGCAGGTGTGAAGGTCAGTGCAGGGCTGAGTCCGGGGCCAAGGGGAGCCCCTGGGTACGGGCCTCATCCCGGTGAAGGGGAAGCACCTCAGCGCCTGGAGCTCTGCTGGTGGCCTCGCCTGCATTTCTGTCAACAAGCCCTCCCAGCAGCTCCCACGTGAGACCCACAGTGAGGAGCGGACGGCACCCCGCAAGCACAGGTGCACCAGGCGACGCCTCCCCCAGTGGCCTTTCTGGGGACCTTGGGCCGCCACCTGGCCTGGGAGTCTGCGTGCAGGTGGCCTGGGCCCATAGGGTTTGGTGTTGGGGGCTGCAGGCACCCTCACCTGCCCGCGCCCTCACCTGCCCTCAGCCTCACCTGCCCTCAACCTCACCTGCCCGCGCCCTCACCTGCCCTCAGCCTCACCTGCCCGCACCCTCACCTGCCCGCGCCCTCACCTGCCCGCGCCCTCGCCTGCCCTCAGCCTCACCTGCCCTCAGCCTCGCCTGCCCGCGCCCTCGCCTGCCCTCAGCCTCCCTGAGGCAGCAGGAAGTCCCATGGCCTCCTGGGGGGAGGGAGGGAGGGGGACACTGTGCGTGAAGAGCGCGCATGCGCGGAGCCCTCCCGCGGTGAGGCTCGCACGTGGTTCTGCTGAGCCCCACGCTGCGCAGGACGCGTCCACCACGCGAGCGCAGAACCACCCCGACTTAGGGAGCCCCTGGGCCTGGGGTGGGGGGAGAGAAGGGGGATGTGCAGTGGCCGCACCCGTGTCTGCAGGGAGGGCGGCCCTGCCCTTGGGCTTCACCTTGGCCCTCAGGCCTCCCAGGCGGCCATCTTTGCCTAGGACTCGACCCACGACCCAGCGGACCCGGGCCACCGCAGCGGCCCCCACAGGCCTCAGCGGAGACACGAGCCCGAGGTCTGAAGGAGGCCGCCCAGGCAGCACCCGGCTGGCAGGAGGGCAGCAGGGCAGGAGGGCAGGAGGGCAGCAGGGCAGGAAGGCAGCAGGACAGCAGGGAAAGAGGGCAGGAGGGCAGCAGTGCATTAAGGTAGAAGAGCAGGAGGGCAGTAGAGCAGCAGGCCACCTGGCCCACCACAGTCACAGCCACAAGGTCTTGCCCTGGGCTCACACCTCTCAACACTGTGCAGACAGGGATGCCCCTGGCAGGTGTCTGAGACCCTTTCTGTGCCATCGCTCAGCATAGACGGATGCCGCTTCTTTTGATATTTATGTCAGCATTTCAGAGGTAACAGAGATACCCTCGCGGCAGGTGAGGGGGGCAGGAGGGGACATCATGTGGGACATTTCCTATAAATGAATTCGCAAAAACAGTTGGCTTTGTGTACCTGTCTTCTTTTAAACTAGAATTATGTCAGTGTCCCTTTATATGGGTGAATACTATTCCATTGCATAAAGAGTCTGCATGTTGTTTATACTTTTATCAATAGATGGATATTTGGGTCATTTCCATTTTAGGGCTATTATGAATAATACTATGAAAATTCGAGTACAACTTTTTATGTGGACATGTGTTTTCATTTCTGCTTGGTATACACTTAGGACGGGAATTGCTGGGTCATTTCATAACTTGATGTTTAACTGTGTAATTGCCAAATTTTTCTCAAAGCATCTGCAATAATTTACATTCCATATAGCAATATATGAGGATTCCAGGTTTTTCACATTCTTAGCAACACTTTTGTTAGATTCTGTTTTTGTTTTTTTTTTGTCTTTTGAAAATAATGTTATAGCAGCCTTAGTGGGTGGGATGTGGCATCTCATTGTGGTTTTGATTTGCATTTCTCTAATGACTAATGATGATGAGAATCTTTTCTTTTTATTGAATTTGTTGGGGTGACATTGCTTCATAAACTTATACAAGTTTCAAGTGTACATTTCTGTGATACATGACCATTGCATTGTGCCTCCATAACCCAAAATCAAATCATCCTCCATCAACATATATTTGACCCCTTTTACCCTCTTTTACCCTTCACCCCCCCCCCCCCACACACACACACACTTCCCATCTGGTGACCACTGCACTGTTGTCTGTGCCTGTGAGTTTTTGTTTTTCTTGTTTGTTCATTTGTTACTTTCAGTTTTATATCCCACATGTGGATGAAATCATATGGTTCTTAACTTTTTATGTCTGACTTATTTGGCTTAACATGATATTCTCAAGGTCCATCCATGATGGGGATATTTAAATGTACTTTCTAGCCATTTGTTTATCTTTGGAGAAATGTCTATTCACATCTTTTGCCTATTTTAAAATGGAGTTATTTGTCTTTTTTTATTGTTCAGTTATAAGAATTCTTTATATGTTTCAGAAAGTGGGCTTTTATCAAATACTAGAGACCTGGTGCATGGATTTGTGCACTGGTGGGGTCCCTCGGCCGGGCCTGCACCCTCTTGCAGTCTGGGACCCCTTGGGGGATGTCAGAGAGCCAGTTTCGGCCCCAATATTCACAGGCCAGATGGAGAACCCCACCCGTGCATGAATCCGTGCACCGAGCCTGTAGTGTGCACATAAGATCTTTAGTTAATATCTTCCCGCTCTCCCTCTGAGATTCATCAGTCTGTTCCATGTTTCCATGCCTGTATGTTGAGCATCTGCCCCCCCTGGTGGTCACTGTGTGTCATAGCTACCAGTCAAATGGTTGCTTAGGCTTTTATATATATAGATAGATATGATTTGCAAATGTTTTTGCCTATAGTGGTAGTTGTAGTTTCACTTCCTTTATAGTATTCAATGATTTTAAAAATATATATTAATATTAACTGCTCTCTGAACTTTTTCTTTCCTTTCAAAAAGAGAATGCCACATCACAAGCATTGGTTTCATATGGTGCCCCCAAGGAAGCTGTTGAGATTTTTCATGAAGATAAAATGACAAATACTGAAGGTGAGGACTGAATGGAAATTGTATAGTAACCTATGTAAACTATATTTATTTTCACTCATTAGTTTCTTATGTCAATATTATATTTTTATTGAACAATAAACCCTAAGTATCAATAGTTAACAAAGTAATTCTATACAAAATTAAGAATACAATATTATAATGTATTTTATGAATGACAAATTTGTTTATAATAATTGTTTATAATTTCAAAAATATATGAATTTTTATTTTTATTTTATTATTATTTAAAAAAATAAATTTTATTGATTTTTTACAGAGAGGAAGGAAGAGAGATAGAGAGCTAGAAACGTTGATGAGAGAGAAACATTGACCAGCTGCCTCCTGCACACTCCCTATTGGGAATGTGCCCTCCACCAATGTACATACCTTTGACCGGAATCAAACCTGGGACCTTTCAGTCTGCAGACCGACACTCTACCACTGAGCCAAACCGGTTTTGGCTAAAAAATATATGAATTTTTAAATTAAACATTTTCTTTATTGCTTGTGCCATGACTGGCAGGTGCTAGAAACTTCCAGTTTAATGAGGATATATCTTTTAAAAGAAGAATGAGGTGTGAAATTCAGAATAAAAATTGTTCATTGAGAATCCATAAAACATCTCTGAAAGTGTTGCTGATATTACATGTTGGAGGAAATGAGGAATGTGCACATATGATGTACTGGGGTTTAGACTTGTTTCTTAGGTCAGTCTGGTGGAGAACTTGACATAAAAAACTTTCAATATTGATTAGTAAATGTCTGCTCTGGACACCTTCAGTTTGATAGGACAAAATGGGATAAGTTGCCATTTCGATTCTTTACCTACAAAATATGGAACACATACATTACTTTGACTGTAGCATCAGGAAGATTGAGAAGTGTCAAAGTAATCTACAGTGTTTTCCAAACTTTTGACATATATGTACCCCTTGTATAATTTTCATAACGCTGAGTACCCCTCGTACTCATGAGAATATAGCTAAGCACGTTGCAGTGCATATCCCCACCAAACTCTGGTGCAATCCGTACCCCCACCAAACTCTTCCCGTACCCCTGGGGGTATGCGTACCACACTTTGGGAAACACTGGCTTAAAATAAAGCTAGAAATGATTGAGATACAGTCAAGAAACATTTGAGTCTCAGGCTCAAGAGTGTGAACTTCATTTCTTAGTCTCTGAGCCTAACTGTATTTAAGTAGAGATGTTGCATAACCATGCTTGGAAATACTAGTCTGTTCACAGAAAGATTTGGTTACAGGAGGACATAGGGATTCCCTTTTCATTGCAGTCCAGTCTTAAGGTAATAAGGCTTCATTGATGAAGGATCGATGGCTATGAAAGATGGGAATTAAGGAGACATTACAAAGGAATAAGATTTGAAGATAATATACAAGTCAGAACTTGAATGAAAAGAGGATTCAACAATGATTGAACTATTGCACACTTTGATAATGGGAACCGAGAAGCAAGAAAGGAAATGAGGTTGAGTGACATGAAAATGAGTTCAGTTTCAGAAATATTGGCTTTGCCGATGGGTGTGTCTCTTTAAGGCTCCCGTTGGCTTATTGGCCTTGAAAAAGTCCAAATGTTTAATACCAAGTAAATTGGAGGCAGACCTGTCACCACAAGTTTGGTGTATCTTAGTCTCTCATCACTGCTTTACTTGCCAAATCATTCCTGAGGACCTGCTCTGAGTTGGGTACCATTCTCTCTGCTTGGTATGTGCCAGGCCCCTCCCCACCTGCAGCTCTCTCTGCATGAATCCCTTATCTTGTCCAGCTCTGTGTCTGAGGATTGCAATGTGTTTGTTTTCCTCTGTAGCCTTTCTGGCTTTGGCATGTAGTTTACTGTTGGCATTAATTTCTGTGGTGGTATAGCTTCTCCATGGTACATTCTAATTCTAACTTCATCCTCCCATCCTGCAAAGGATCCAGCAGGTCCCATCTTTCCTTTTCTCCATTCAGTGTTAGGGTCAGGCTCTAGGAAGGATATGTACATTTTGACAGGGAGTTTAGGGTAAAGTTAAGTCTAAAGATGTTTAGTTGGGGGTAAGCACTTAGAGGAGATAACTAAAAGAAAAAATTATTTCTTACCAAGACTCATGCCTATGAGGAGAAATAGGCAAGGAAGTGAGAGAAAGCGCTTGAAGAAGAGCATTTCAGGGAAGTATAGAGTTAAAAGAGATGGAGAATGATAGGAGGTTATTGAATTGTGTTGCTAGGATCTGGCTAGTGATTAAAAAAAAAAACACACAAAGTTTTGAGGTAAATTTTAAGTACAATATTGTCCACTCATTTCAAGTCTGCAAGTCAGTGACTTTTGACAATTTCACAGATTTATTTTACCATTATCTTAAATGAGATATTGAATCTTTCATTTTTTAAATACATTTTTTTTTTTTAAATTTCAGAGAGGAAAGGAGAGGGAGAGAGAGAGAGACAGAACCATCCATGATGAGAGAGATCGTTGACTGGCTGCCTCCTGCATGCTCACACTGGGGACTGAGCCTGCAACCCAACCCACGCATGTGCTCCAACCAGGAACGGAACTCTGTCTTCCTGGTTTATAGGTTAATGCTCAATCCCTGAGCCACATGGCTGGGCTAGAGTCTTTCATTTTTCCAGAAAGTTTATTCATGCCCTCTGTAGTCAGTCTCATCCCACCCATTCCCCATATCCATGGATATGGTTTGAGTTTTACCATTCTAAAATTTCAAATGCATGTTAGTTATTATGGATGGGTGAATAAATCATGTAAACATCCATTTCACTGAGCAAGGAGAGTTGACAGTTCATGAACATAGTATTTTTATGACATTTGTCAACGCAACAGGCCAGTCCATATTTTCTCTCAAACCAGCGTTTCTTGTTGCAGTCTTAACAAACCTCAGCTCTGGCCCAGATCCAGGAGGCTCTGTCCCCTCATACACTGATGTTGGGCAAGGACGTTGGGGTTGGGCAAGTGATTAGAGAGGAAAGAGTCCTGTTTGAGCTGAATTCTTTGACCACCTGTGCTTAGGCTTCACCAGGAGCAACTCTGTCCATTAACATGTGACTAAGACCATTAATTCTCATTGCAGCATGGAATTTTAGGTGAAAAATATTTGATATGTAACCCTACCAACCCATTCACTTATTAAATGAGAAATCTAGGGTCAGAGGCTGAGTAGTTTTAGCTTAGGAAGTACAGTTAATTATCAGTTAAGTGAGAAAAAAAAAAAAAAAAGAACGTGGACACCAAACTGGGTAAAATTAAAAAGCAGAGCAGAGCAAGGTTTAACTTATGTCGTTCTTACATTTAGAATAAAATCAGTAAGAACTTTAGAATTCTGGTTCTTTCTTGTGCTGCTAATTTTGCCAAGTCCTTTACAGAATTTCAATGCAAAATTTAACTTCATAGTATTTTCCACTCCACAGTTTACTGCATGTATGATGTTAATACCAAGCCATAGGGGTGCTGTGGAAATTAATTAGCATTCACACAGGAGATTGAAAGTGGCACATGCAGAAACATGTTAAATGAGTCATTACTATCCTTATTTTCCCCACATTTAATGAAGCAAAGCAAATGTTTTGTGCATAAGGACAACTGCCTAGTTGTTAAATGAATACTAAAGTCTTTTTATTTCTAGAAGGAAGGGCAACATGCCCTTGTCAGGATACTTGGATAGGAGATCAATATGTAATTTTCACCAGCTTGTACATTGGACCTTTGACTATTACAGAGATGAAAATATATATTTCTCTGAGTATGAACTAAAGAAGAAATATATAACACATGTGAAATAGTCATAGCAAGAATATGTGTTCAGTATGGCCAAAGTAAACTGATATCTTGAAGGAACATTTAAAATTCAAAAACAAGGGGTATGTGAAACATTTGAGATGCCCTGAAATATGTTTCTGGACTGCTTATCTTTGCCACATTTTAAAAAAATATGAAAACAACCCTTATAGCTTACACTCCATGGCCAGTGTGATACAGTTCAAGTACCAGCTCTCCAGCCTATCCGTTGTGTGGAATATGACATTGTTATATAACTTCTCTAAGCCTTAGTTTCCTTGCTTATGAAATCAAGATGTTGTATATTCAGATACACACATAAGTTCAGATTTATGAGATAGGGTCAAAACTTATATTTACAAATGAAACATATGTCATTTTCACAAAAGTTGTATTTTTGGAGGTGGAGATTATGAGACTTCGTTTAAAAGATTGCAGTTGAAATGGAGATATCTAAAATAGGTACCATCTCTGTAGGTTGGCATTGAAACAAAAGGCACAGTCAGCAGGCAATAGCATTACCTCTGTGTTTCTCGAGGTCAGCTGAGATGAGGTCAGCACACTCTTCTCATTGGGGCACCGGTCCTATTTTGTGTCTTCATGTACCATCAGTCACTGCAGCTATAATCCAGCCCAGTAGAGTCCTTAGACACAAAATGACTGCAAGTAAGCACTTTGGTGGAGTTTCATGGACAGCTTTGCTGTGCTCCTGCAGCCTTCAGATGATCCCGGACATGCCAGGGTTAGAGTCACTGAGGCACATCAGACGGAGTGGATTTTATGATGAGCACAACATAAATGCTCTGGTGAGGACATCCATCACTCTCTGTGAGAGACTCCAATTTTCAGAAATGGAAGGTAGAAAATGAGGTTATTATGAGGATGAAGGGGACTTCATTTTATTTTTTATAGCAAGAAAAACATGCTGGATTTAAGGAAGAAGTCCTTCAGTACATGAGTGACTGTATATTATTTACTTTGGGAAAAGTGAAATCTCTTTGAAGGGAGAATTTAAAATATATTTCAAAGTCATTTTTAAAATTGATTTGGAATTTATTGAGAAAAAAACGAATAAATGTTTTCTGCCTTTTTTCTTTACTCCCCCTCCCCCACAATGGTTAGTTCATAATGCTATGAAACATCTAAAGTTTGAAAATTTATTCTTGCTTCTTAGAATCATTTTTATTTTTAACATTTTTAAGTCATAAATTATTCTTTTATATTTCAAAATATTAGAAGGTTCATTCTGTAATTGTGACATATTTATCTACCTAGGTGTTAAAACTTTGAGCATTAGTTTTAATAAAGTTGAATATTTTTGCATATTCTCAACACCAGGGTTACTACATTGTATATAACTGATAAGTAACTTCCACTGTCTGCTTTGTCTTTAGTGGTGAACCAAGGCACTTACTTTAGTTACCCATGTCGGCGACACAGCTGTTCTTTAGTGAAAATCCCAGCACCATGTGTCAACAAAATTATTTCACACATTGAAGATGTGGAGTCTAAGATAGAGGGACATTTGAAACAGGTAAGTGACATTTAATATGCTAACACTGTTATAAACATTATAAAGCCTACAAGGGTACATTAGTTAAAGAAGCCAAGGAGTTGTTTTCTATGAAATTTGAAATAGTTTCTAGAACCTTTGCTTAGCTGTCTAATTTTCTAATCTAGACATGATTTTGATAGTCTCATTTCAGAAGGGTTAAACAAGCTCATTAAATAGATTCCTCCCCTATCTGTTTCTTCTTTATCCAAAGGCAATCATGCTAAGTAGTAATTTCCATAAGCCAACTTGACTAGTAAATTAAATAGTACTTACATTCTTTTTTGGGATACTAAACTGATTAGGTGATTAGACGAGGACACTGGTGTATGAAAGGACAGTGTGCCCTTTTAAATGAGTTATTTTGTTCTAAAGAAATACCTGATAGGTCTGTTAAACAGAATATAATTATTCCTCCTTTGTCTTTTTAACCTGTTAGTTTGCCTTTATTATTCTGAAGGGAGTTTAGTCTTGAAACCACTGTAACATTCAATTATTTCCAAAGGATGATTTGGAAATGATAAAACATTCTCACACTTTTCTAAAGATTATATTTCTGAGCAATTAATGCAGAATCAGTGAATCCACATGGGAGTTTGCCAGAGACCTGAGCTATCTCTCTCCCTTCACCACTGTTACAGGATCTCTCTGAGAAGGTTCTGGTGGGCCACCTGTGATGCTCAATCTAGGGTTTGGTCTCCTTTGAGAAAATCTTCCTAGTGCATTTGTTAACATCTCAGGCTTTATAACTACACATGCTGTGACCCTCGGCAGAAATGGAGAGATGTATTAAAAGTGCCGGCATAGGGCATGCATCCAATATGCACTAGCTATTCTTATTTCTATAGTACTATTTATCTATTTCACCCTACATCAGTGTTATATTATTTCTGTTGCTGCTTTGTCAGTGCTGCCATCTGTTGCCTACCCAAGATCCTATGGAGAGTAGGCACTGAGTACATGTCTTTTGAATGAAAAAATAAATGGGGACCTGAAGCAGAGCCTTCTTTTTCTAGATACACCTGAGGCACCCATCTACCTACTGTAGTAAGAGCTACCATTTACCAAACATCTGCTAATTCTTTAGGCACTTAATAAGTATGTATTTTTGTGTTTGTCCTTTATCGGAATCCTACTTTACTGGTTAAAATTCTAAGACTTAGACAACTCAAGTAATCTATATGTCATGGCACAGGTAGTAAGCATTAGAGTTGAAATTCGCACCGAGTTTTTAAAAAATCACTTCTTCACATTTAAAAAATTAGATGTTTCTCCTGTTTTCAAGGAAAAACAATTTTATTTCATACATACCTTTAAATATAGGCCCCCCCCCGTATCTCCTACAGTTCCACTTAATATCTGAAGAGTTGTCTAAATTTAATATTTCTGAGTCCTCACTTCCCACCTACTCATTCATTGCAATCTTCATTTCATCTCCATTATTCTATTGAAAATGCCTTCATAAGAGTAACCATTGTGTTTCCTGTTGTCTGTTGATATGCACATATATACAAACATACAAACTAAAGCTCTGTGGCTAGAACAAACATTTATTTTTGTTACATTGAGCAATTTGTTCTGGGCTCAGCTGGGAAATGTTGTTGTTCTTGCCTCTGGCCAATGATGTGGATGCACACGTCTGCTGACTCAACTGGGAGTCCTGATAAAGATGGCCTCACTCACATGCCCAGTAGCTGGGAGAGTGTTTCAAGAGGACAGAACTCAATGGGCAAGTGTCTATGGAGCTTTGCTTGTGCTGTGTTTGCTGAAGTCCCACCGGCCAAAGCACAACACATCATCAGCCCCGTTAATGCAGTAGAACAGTGATTTTCAACCTTTATCTCATGGCACACATTAACTAATTACCAAAACTCTGTGGCTCACAAAAAAATTCTGACAAAAAATAGGTATAATTTTGATTTATTCACACCGGATGGCTATTGCTGTGTTGGTTGTCATTTTTTTTTTTTTTGACAATCTAAGGGAAAAGAGGTCAGTATTCCTGAATATAGTCAGATATTGAATATTTTAACAATTCTTACGGAACATTGGTTGAAAATCGCTGCAGTAGACTATTAGACAAGATGTGGATACCTACCAGGAGACATAAATCTTTGGAGACAACTTATATAGCGATCTACCAGATAGTCCATTGGGAACAGATCAAATACTGATTGAAATAATTTTTCTCTATTGCTCATCACTTCTACAAAAATATTGTCAGGGGAAGGTCTTGATATTTTATCCTAAAATATTTCTAAAATTTTAAGTAATCTGTTTTTACAAGTATAAATTAAGCCATTTTGAATTACAGTATATAGAGGATCAAACAGAATATTAATTAGGCATTAATCACTTATTGAGGACTTTTAAAATTTTGGATAATTATATCATAACTCATTAAAGTGTCTCTTATCCAATTTCCTCCTGATTTTCTTGTGATACTTCAAGTGGCTCCTTAAAACTATTACATACATCAGCCTAATTGTAGTTTTTGCACTATTCAGGACTCTGAATTACCAGTTTCAAAAGCCAAAAGATAATATTTTTCTGATTGTTAGTTATTTTATAACATATTAATATGTTAATATGCTTATTGAATGTTCATTCTTTTCCACGTTTATCTTTTGCCTATTTTCTTTTAGGTTTATTTGTATTTTTTTTTATTGACTTGTAGGAACAAATTGTTATCTGTAGTTTGTTATGTATGTTTTAAACATACTTAAGTTTGACTTGTTTTCTTTATATCTTTTAATAAAAAGTTCTTAATTTTAATGTACTTAAATTTATCATTTTTCCTTTATTTTAAGTGTTTTGCACCTTGTTTAAAAATATTTCCATATTGCAAGTGTCATAGAAAATATTTTCCTTTTTTATAAATTTTTAAAATTTTTCTCTAGAAATCGTTTAACATCGTGAAATTGTATGTAAGGATAAATAGCAATTTTCATTAATTGCTATGTAAGGATTAACAGCAATTTCACATAAATATATGAAAATTAGTTTTCTCAACATCAATTTTATTACCAAATCCAGTCATTACTTAGAAATCAGCTATCCCATATTGATCATATATCAAGTTTTCATGATGATTGTATCATTTCTAGCTCTTGTATTTTACCTGTGAATTTAACCCTCTATTACAATATCTCATTCTACTGATTTGCATGCTTCATAATATGTCTTGATATCTGCTGGGTAGTTCCATTCTTTTTTTTTTTTTTTTTGCTTTTATAGACTTCTTTGGCTCTTTTTGGTAGGTGTAATTTTTAGAATTGTCATATTCTATGCAAAATACATTGGAATCTTGAACAGTTGCACTTATTACCTTTTCTTATGTAGATGAAGTTAGTCTCAAGAGGAGTGTTTTTTAGATGCCATTGAATCTACTATCAGCATAAGAAAATTTCAGTAGTATAGCAAATACCAAAAGCTGTTTAGAGGAGAAAACTCAGTAGGAGGTAAATGGGAAAAATGGACAAATAAATGCAAACTTAATGTTAAATTATTGGTTCTCTAACAAATAGTCATAAGCCGCATAATGTTTCAGTCAATGACAGACTGTGTATAGGACAGTGGTCCCATCTATAATAATGAAAGCATAATATGTTAGTTAGATTGACGTCCTTCTGGACAACCTTCCAGACGAAGCTGGGGCTGCAAGGGAAGCCCTGGTCCCCAATGCCAGAGGGAAGCCAGAGGGAAGCCGGAGGGAAGGAAGACCTACTCTTGCATGAATTTCGTGCTTCGGGCCTCTAGTAAGATTATAACAGAGGGCCTCAACTTATGCCTGAATAAGCTTATATTTGAATTTGTAACATCTTGGGATATTTTTACTCTTTGGTGAAATCTGTCTTTGTTTTCCCTCCCACCTGTTTGTGTCAAAGGGAGAATTTGCTTGTTTCTCTCTAGAACCATAACTTCCATATTTATTAGACAACCTTTCCATCTTAGGCAGATCTCCAGGGTGGTGAGCGAGTTCTCATGACAACGAGTAGGAGGCAACTTCTCAGCCACCTAATCTGGATTCTGTGTGTGTGTGTGTGTGTGTGTGTGTGTGTGTGTGTGTGTGTGTGTGTGTGGTGTGTGTGTGTGTGTGTGTGTGGAGGAAGCAATAATACCTGCTCATCTCACCACAGCCCACCCTTCCATTATTAGCTTGGATCACCACCTACTTATTCTTACAGTCTGGGAGTTCTGCAAGAGTTCTCCAGAGAACCTTTCATTTCCCCTGAAAGGATCTCCACTTGTCCTCTGAGCTATACACTTCTTTGCTCTGGTTTCACTATCAGTCTCACCAGATTGCCTTCTATTTCTGGGTATTCTTTTAAAATCTACGTCCCAATAATATTGACAGATATGTATGTGTGTGTGTGTGTGTGTATGTGTGTATGTATGTATGTGTGTGTGTGTGTATATGTATATATGTATATATGTATATATGTATATATATATATTCTGCTCCAGAAATGTTGGTATGACATGGGAATTGAAGAAAAGTAATGATATATGCCCAATCTCACATCTTGAATTGGAAATTATCTGCGAAACCCATAACATTCAGACTATATAATCCTTGCGTTTTTAGTAACTTATGCCCCTTAAAGCTCATGGTTCTTTTAGAATATATCATAGAGCAAGACTCCTTCCAAAGAGTGTAGAGTCCAGGAAAGGGATAAGACAAGGATAATTCTATGGAAAACTAAGTGTTTGTGAACTCATGCAATTATATGTTTTCCACTCTTCTGTGATATATTGAAGTTCAAAGGATGTATGGATTCAGATTGTGTGGAAAGTCCTTTGGGTGTAAGAGGAATTTTAGCTGGTCCTGTTAAAAGGTGTAAGATTTAGAAACAGATGAAAGCTAAGAACAATCAGGTGGGAGTAAAAAGGAGAGTATAGGAGTAGATAGTAGAAGTATATAACTGTTTTGGAAATAATAGAGTACATAGTTTGACAGAAATATAATGGGGTATGTGAAGTAGAGTAGTTACAGTTTTACCAGTGAGTTCAAGTATAAGTTAAAATTACTGTTGTTTTCTGAGCTGTCTAAAATTTGATTTTAATTGAGATCTTTTATTTTGACAGTTTGAAACTTCTTTGGAAGAATGGTAAGAACCTATTATGCTTCTTTTATTTGTTCATGTTCACATTTTAATGATTAATATGCTTGGAGGAGTTTTATTTCAAAAGGGACAGAAAATTGAAAGCAGATGTTTTCATATTAGGTACTAAAATATAATTTTTTAAAAACTTAAGAATTAGGATATCATGGAAAATGACAGAACAGAATAGAGATCTTCAGAGCTCTGTACCACCACTAAGCAACTATAAATTTGGCAAAAATTGGTCAGAATCAACTTTTTTCAAAATCTATAATCTAGTAAAAAACTCGCTGCAACCATGGAAGAAAAGTCAATGAAGAAAGAGCCACTGCATTTTGTTAGGAGACCCCAGTGGCATTTAAATCGCCGCCTGGCCTCCTGCAGCTCCCGGGTCAGTGGAGGCCCCGCAGAGGGCTGCCTGCTTTGGTGACGCCCTACAGGTTTCGGAGGGAATGACAGGGGCCTTATTCTAGGTCTAGGAGAATGGTGCTTCAGTGCTGTGTCCTGCTGACCACTCCCAGGGAGTGTTCCTTGGAAGCGCTTAAAGGCATGTCCTTGCCACCACTCTATGAAGCTGATGATAAGCGTTGGACTGGCGTTGGACAGACCAGAATGCCTGGGGAAGAAGAGGCTGAGAGCAGAGGCACCTGAGGAAATGAGGCTTTTCAGAGCCCTCACCTCTATTGGAGAATTGAGAAATGTGCGCAGATGACCAATGCTGGACACATGTGGGGGGGAGAACCAAGAACCAAGAAGACCCTGACCTTTGAACTGTGGCTAGCCTTTAGGCAAGAACAGATGGTAAGAGGAAGAGATGAATACCCTGGATAAGCATCGAAGGAGTACTCTAGTAGAGCGCCCATCTGTTAAGATTGGGAGGTATCGACCCCCCTCCCCCCGCCGCCTTCTTTGTTTTAGCTCTAGCTGTGCAAGCTGACAGGCAAACAGAAGCTCACCAATAAGCTAATATTGTAAACACTTCCTGTAGTGGCCACGTGTGACAAAGAATATGGATGTTATACAAAGTGTTTAAAATAATCATCAAACAAATAAATAGCAACCACCCATAACAAATAGCAATAGACGGAGGCTGACAGTGGAGAGAGCATTATTTAATAAAGATGCTGGGATAATTTATTTTCTGTTTTTAAAAGAAAACAAACAAGAAAAAATTACCTTTTTTAAAAGAAGTATTTAAATCAAATTAAAACTGAAGGAAGAACATATAATGAATATATTTCTGATATCAGAATAGACAGACTTTCCTAAATAAATCGAAAAATAACAATGAAACATGTAATATGCAGCCTTTGGAGATAGTAAATAGTAGTCAGATATATAGCTTTTTTAAATAAGAAAAATGATCATTTAATAAAAATGAAACTCCTTGCTTTGTTGTTTATACTGGTTTTCTTAAAACTTTTGTTAGAGAAAAAATATTTTCTGTTTAAATACAGTGAAATGTAATCTAGGATCCAAGAAGTGATACTGATAATGAGAAGCATATTGTTTTTCAACATATAGGACTTTAGCTAAAAGAGTCTTTAGAAAAGAAGTAACATTTTAATTTGTACATTTTTCTAAAACCTTAAACTTCAAATCTGAAATAGTATTCTTATTCCTTGTCATTCATATTGATTCCCCAGAAATTGCTAACTGAAATTAGAAAAATAGCTCATTTAACTTATTTTTTAAAAATCTCCTTTTCAATAGCAAATCTCTAGGAATTACCAATTTCTTAAAAAACAAACAAACTGCTTTATTATCTTCTTATGCCCAGCTGGTATGGCTCAATGGTTGAGCATCAGCCTATGAACCAGGAGGTCACGGTTCCATTCTTGGTCAGGGCACACCCCTGGGTTAAGGTCTCCACCCTAGTGTGGGGTGGGCAGGTGGCAGCTGATCAATGATTTTCTCTCATTGATGTTTTTAATCTCTCTCTCCTTCTCTGAAATCAATAAAAATATATTTTAAAAAATTTCAGACCATTTATAACAAATTTTAGATTTCTATTTACCATGAAGTTTTAAGCCCATTATCTATTAGATCGTTGCTGTATGAATCTCCAGGAGAGTAGAGTTAGTATGTATATAGAAAGTTTCACCATGCACATTTCCAATTCAATGTGAGAGTGTCACCTAACATTTGTTTTACTGAAGTGAAGTACAGCCCTCCTGGAGTAATTGATCCCCTCTCTCCTGCTCCATAGGCACGAGGCTGCTGAAAAAGACCAGGTCTCGAAGGTGGAACCCAAGGAAGAAAGAGGTAAAGCTGGACTGCACACGTAGATCAGGGCAGCGGCATTCAGAAGTTCACTGATTTCAAAGAGTTCTCATTTTCCCGTAATAATGCTAACGCTTTATAATTCTTATCAGTGTGTCAGGGAGGACAGAGCCTCTATAATTTGATTAGACATTTGTTCAACATATATTTATTAATGACTGTTATGTGCCATTAGAGGCCCGGTGCATGAAATTCCTGCACTAGGGGGTGTTCCTCAGTCCAGCCTGTGCCCTCTCACAGTCTGGGAGCCCTCAGGGGAAGTCTGACTGACGGCTTAGGTGCGGGGAGCAGGCCTAAGCAGTTGGACATCCTTAGCGCTGTTGCAGAGGCAGGAAAGGCTCCCGTCACTGCCACTGCACTCGCTATTTGTGAGCCCGGCTTCTGGTTGAGCAGCACTCCCCCTGTGGGAGCGCACTGACCACCAGGAGCAGCTCCTGCATTGAGTGTCTTCCCCCTGGTGGTCAGTGCGTGTCATTGTGACCAGTCATTCTGCAGTTCAGTCAATTTGCATGTTAGCCTTTTCTTATATAGGAAGTATTATCTAGACCCTGAGTGTAGATGACCCTTGCTCACTGCTCCAGAAACTATAATTCCAGTTCTGTGCAGTAGGCTTTCTGTGAGAATCAGAGTCTTCTCTGTCTATACTAGCCAATAGAGCATCAGCCTCATATAATGTCTGAGAACTGGAAATGTGTCTGGCGAGACAGAGATATTTAATTTTTAAGTTTAACTTTAACTCATATCTCAGTGAAAATGGTCACATGGCTACCATAGTGGACATCACATTTCCACTATATGTAAAAAGCAAGATTAATATTCTTGTCAAGATTAATATTTTACAAAATATAAAATAATATACTAGCATAAAATGTGTGTTAAAATTCTTCAGTGTATTTGAATATATTCTTGATATTATATTAACTCTTCCCCAATCCTTACCACAGAAATTTGTTAAACATCTTAAGTGAAAGCTAACTAATAAACTCAGGCTTTTAAAAGCAAGAATGTTTTATTCAAAGCTGTCATTCACAGTGAGGCTCTGATTCTACTGTTTTCACTGTTTACGTCTACAGTGAAGATGAAAACCTCACTTATTAGTTTTTCACATGATAAATGCTGAGAGCAAAAAATAATATATGAGTAGTCACAATATCCATTACATTAACTGCACTTCTGTTTATCATAAACATGCACATTTGACTCTAAAACATAAGACAGTATCAAGATAAAGGTTTGCCCTGGCAGGTTTGGCTCAGTGGATAGAGCGTCAGCCTGCGGACTGAAGGGTTTGATTCTGTCAAGGACACATGCCTGGATTGTGGGCTAATCCTCAATAGTGGCATCTCTTTCATCATTGATGTTTCTATCTCTCTCTCTCTTCTTTCTGCTCTAAAATCAATAAAACATATTTTTAAAAGATAAGGAAAATGTAAATATTTACACTAAAAATGTAAGGTGGTTGCTCACTCCATATGAACTAATTGAGATAGTGTTCTAGAAAAAAAAAAGTTGAGAGGTGTTAAATGCAATGAATTGGAGGCCCTCCAAGTTAAACACAGCATTTGTTTTTAAATGCTGTGATGGAAACAGTAAGAAGACATCTTGCAGTGACATAATGGTCACCTCACCTTCGGACAGAAATCTGTCTGATCACAAGTGCTTTAATTTCAGTGCCAGTAACTTCATCATGTGTTTCAGACTGAAATCTTGTTATAGAGATTGAAGGGATAGTAAGTTGGCTGGAGAACCCAGTACTTAATGCGTATATTGGCATCTAACAAAGCAGACAGATAAGAATAGGAAGTGTACAGTATGTGGTGGAATTTGAAAAACAAACAAAAAAAGAAGGCTATAGACCAAATAAATAGAGGCCAAACAAAGGAGAGGTCTGGAAAAAAATCAGATTTTATGCCTTGCAATAGAGAAGCCTGCTTTTTAAGAATTTTTCTTAGGCGGATGCTGAATTTCTTTGACAAGTCTATAGGATAGAAGAAGAAATTGCGTGTGACTGCTCAGCTTCCATTGACAACCGTTATGTAACACCACCTTCCCATAGGAATGACTATCCTTATTAACCAACATAAACCGAAGGCCTGTGAGTTGCCTTTCTCTGGATCTGGCTTTACTGTTTCTCCTCCGCTTCTGTGTGGTGGGGGCTTTTCCTTTCTTGAGACGGTGTTCGCTTCTGTCTTCTTCTTACGTCATGTGTTGGCCAAAGCCACCGCTTACAAGTATATGTGGCCTGTGTCAGTATTCCTTACTGATCTGTTTCCAGGGAGAGAGCATATTGCCTAGGATTTCACAGGCTCTCTGTCCATTTCTTACATAAACAGATGAGTGAATAGTCATAGTAATGATTTCATTAACATTAACCCCTATCACTCCAGAGCTGTGGACCAGGAATCACAAATACCTGTCATGTAAGAGTTAATTTGTGTTACAACTGAATAAGTAGACTTTGGGAACAACAGTAAACTTTTTGCAAGGCTAAATAAGGATGTTATAATCTGATAAGATAAAGAATATTAAGTGTCTTGTTTCTATAACTATCTGAGGATTTCCAATATATGTCTGATGTAATGGTTATGATTCACTTTTCTCAAAGAATGAGAAGGAAACACAAGCATAATTTCAAAATACAGCTTATAAACAGAACACTTGTTTTTTTTTCTTCAGATAAGCTATTATACATGGAAGATATGAGTGAGATTTAGCTATTCTAATCGTTTTATGAAATGTCCCTTTAAAACCCTGCCTTTCAAAATGTATAATCAATGTTATGATTGTGTGATAACGTTTTAAAAGCTAATGGTCTTTAAAAGGCTAATTTGTTTTTCTAAAATTGTCATTAATTATTTAAATACAAAATACAGTGATACAATTAGTACTCATGTTCCCACCACCTGGTTTATAGGCTGACTCATTAACAAATGTGAATGCATTTTCCTATTTTTAAGATGAGACATGTCCAGAATTAAAGCAGGAAATGGAAACGTTGCTGTCAGAAGCCATTTTTCTTGTCAAAACTCTAGAAACTGACCGCGCAGAAGCTGCAGAAGCTCTGAAACGACAGCACTCGCGAAGGAAGGAGATAAACAAGACAATTGATTCTTGGTCCATCTGGAGGCTTCAAGAAATGCCCATGGCTGTGCAGAAAGGTAATAATGAGGATTGTTCATCATACTGCCGTTGACTTCGTTACACAGGCATGAGTAATCGATTGTAGTGCGGAATAAAACATCAGTTCTATTTTAGTGACCCTGTTACTGGTATTTCTGCATCCAAACCGGTGCACTTCTAATAGGTGCTATTAATGACAATGCTTAGTCATTGGAAGGAATACATTGAGCAAAACTGGAACTGCTGTCAGTTGGTGTTTGTTTGAAATTCCTTTGGATCATGGTACCCAGGGGGGCATGCAAACTTCCGGCTCCTGCTTCCTGTAAGGACTATAGTGTTTGAGGACTAGAAATAGAAAGTGATTGCCAGTTAGTGGTATTGGCCACATCTTTAAACATAGTAAAACATGAGAGTTCTAAGGGATATTTCAGCAACTGCTCCATCTGCTTTGGGGAATTCAGCAGTAAGTTTTATAGGGGACTTCTAGGAGGCAATAAAACTTAAGGTGTTTCTAAGAGTCACGCAAGTAAATGTTCCAAAGGAAAATGCTGTCTTTTAGATGCCAGAGTGAGGGAACTACGGTGAGACACTAAAGAGTCTTAAGGCATTTGATTTTTATTTTTCATTCTGCACACACTGCCTGCCTCTCAGAACATGCCTTGACTATATGTGTCTTCCTAAGGCTGGAAGTTGTTTGTGCCATCAGATGGTAAAAATGTTAATTCAGGATTTATATGCTTTATACATAGGTTATAGTAGGGTGCTTATATAACCTAGCATTTAAACCAAGACACCTTTGAGAGAAAAGAGGGTGCTGTCACTATTATTACTTTGGTATAATAGTCATTAATTCAAATAACATGTAAACATAAACTCAGACATACACATGTTAGAGTGTTATGTCTCTAAAACTGTAATTCCCAGGGAAGGACATATACATTTCAGGAAGTGGCAAGAAAAGATCAGGATTTTTATTTATATTTTTTTACATTTGCTTGTGATGGTGACTGATAAAATACTGGTACCCAGGGGATCTTCCGCTTTGTTGTTTTAGTAAAGTGAGCTGCACGGAGGTTTAATGGCTTTTTTTTCTTTTGAAGTGACACTGGGATCGCAGCTGGAACTCCATTTGTTCGCTTCCTTCTGGGGAAGAAATGAAGCAGCAGGAATGGGCCCCGAGCCTAGGCTGGGAACGACTTTAATCCAGATTGTGTCTATGCTCTTTTTCACCCCTGATTCTCACGAGTTAACTGTAGCCCTACCGTGGCTCAGTGGTTGAAATTCAGTCTATGACAGGGGGTTATGGTTTGATTCCGGGCAGGGCACACGCCCAGGTTGCTTGATCCCCTGCATGGGGCATGCAGGAGGCAGCAGCTCAGTGATTCTCTCTCATCCTTGATGCTTAACTCTCTCTCCTTCCCCTTTCTCTCCGAAATCAATAAAAACGTATTTTAAAGAGTTAACTATAAAAATCACTCTAAGATCAGGTAATATTAGATCTTTTACTACCCAAAAGAATACATTTTATCTCAGTTAAAATTTCAAGGTAAGGAGTTGCTTAACAGCAAATATTATAAGACTCACATAAAGCACACAAAAGTCCAGATTCAATGTGTATCAGTAGAAATAGACAACAATCTTACTCAAAAAGTGTTCAGATATTGAATTATACAGTAGATTATAAAATAAGTATGTTTACTCTGTTTCAAGAAATAGAAGTTTGAAAATAAATATAAAGACTAAGAGACTTTTTAAAAGAAAGCAAAAATGGAGATAAAAAAGACAATAAAAATAAAAATTATATTACTTACTAACTCAGTAGTTGGTTTATTAGACAAACAATAGTAATATGTAAAATTGAAGGAAATTACATGGAATGCATCACAGCTACACTGGAGATGGGAAATATAAATAAAATATTTAAAAGCATGCAGTATAAAATGAGAAGGTACAATGAATATCTAATTTATTAACTTATAAAACATATTTTAATATACAGTGGTGCCTCGCATAAAGAACGCCTCGCACAGCGAACGCTGCACACAACGAACTTCATTTCATGATTCATACAACGAACTTCGTTTCACACAACGAAGTCGCCCGAGCTTCCACGATCGCTGCCGATGTATTGCATCCTTCCGCGCAGGCACTGCAGGCAGTCGTTAGTCACTGCGCTTAACTTAGCACGTATCGCGGCAATCGTTCTTCATTACGAATTAAATCACGCACGTATCACGGCAGTCGTCCTTTTAAGTTAAACTCAATATTTTTTTTATATCATGATGTATCTAAATAAAAATAATAACAAAAAATTTATCTTTTTTTATGTCATCTTAGCATATTTTATGCTACAGAACGAATTATTTTTTTTAACATGTATTGTTATAGGAAAACGCGTTTCACAGAACGAACTTTTCGCATAACAAACTTGCTCCTGGAACGAATTAAGTTCGTTGTGTGAGGCACCACTGTATCTAATATTATAGTAATATCTAATATTATTAATTTACAAAACATATATTTTAATCCCTTCAGTGAGAAATGCAGAGAGCAATATCTTTTATAATGCAGTGATAAAATACATTTTATATTTGGTGAGATTCCCAGATAAAAATTTCTGAAACAAAAATATTTCATATTTATCCATTATCAAACACACATTTCAAAATCAGAATTTTCTTTTGTTCTTATCATTGTTTGTCTAGAACACGAAGCCCATATGAGAGATATTCTGGAATTACGATGGCATATTGAAGATAAATCTTATGAAATAAAACAGTTAGAGAAAAAAAGGGCAGGATGGGAAGAAGCTAATGAGAAGATCCAAGCAGACATAGATTACATGAATGAACACAGTACTCTGCTGAATTCAAAGCTGTTGCAGGAAATGGGAGATCTAAAGGAATATGGTAAAAAAAAAATTGAGGTAAATGAATGAATATGCATTTTATAGATTGTTACTTGGTTATAAAAATATTTCAAATACAAGAAGTTAATATACCTTTAAAGGTTGCCATTTCATTGAAAATTGACCTGATATTTGTTTCACAGAGGAATTATTTAAATATATACCAAACAATTGATTGGTATTCATTTCAACTGTGTGGTCTTCCCTTACTTTATATTCCCTTTTGAATATATTTTATTGACTTTTTACAGAGAGGAAGGGAGAGAGATAGAGAGCCAGAAACGTCGATGAGAGAGAAACACCGACCAGCCGCCTCCTGCACACCCCCCACCGGGGACGTGCCCACAATCAACGCACATGCCCCTGGCCGGAATCAAACCCAGGACCCTTCAGTCCACAGACTGACGCTCTACCACTGAGCCAAACCGGTTTTGGCTATATTCCCTTTTGAATTAGGGACATTAATAATATTTAGTCAACCTACTATTAATTTTTGGCGATTTAAAACAGCATGGCAATTTTTCAAGTTGTAAATAGAATTGAAGGAGAATGCAAGTAGAATATATCAATTTCATTGTTGATGAAAATACTAAGTGTACCAGTTAATAATGGCAGATTTTATAATCAAAGAAAACACGATAATTTCAAGAGAAACATCAAAAGTGCTTTATTCAGAGTAATGTCCATCGCTAGAACACATTTCCCCCATCTTTCAGGTAATCTGTGGATGTTATCTTAATAGAACTTTTCTTGTTTTGAGACAAACCATTCAGAGACCCAATTTTCCACCTTTTCCCACATTTTGAAGTGCTGCTCAGAAAGTGTGTGTGCTATCAGTCAGAACAAATGGTAATCTGAAGGAGCAAGGTCTGGTGAATATGGCGGGTGGGTTAATACTTCCCAGGCAAGATCTTTTAAGGTATCTTTAACTGGTTTTGAAGTGTGTGATGGTGCATCATCATGAAGCAAAATTACTTTGCTGTGTCTTCTGGCACATTCTTGTTGTTTCACGATCAAAGCATGGTTCAAATTGATTATTTGTTGTTGGTAACAATCAGCATTAACAGTTTCACCTGGTTTTAGAAGCTCATTATACACCATATCTTCCTGATCCCACCAAACACAGAACATTGTCTTCTTTCCAAAGCAATTTGACCTTGCAGTTGATATTGATGGTTAACCTGGATCAACCCATGGTTTTGTGCATTTGGGATTCTCAAGATAAATCCACTTTCATTGCCAGTCACACACAAAAAAAAGACTTTCTTTTGGGCCAATGAAGCAACATTTTACCGATGACTTTTCGGTTTTCCATTTGTCTTCTGTTCAATTGATGTGGCATCCATTTTCTTCCTTCCTTTAAAATCTTTCCCATTGCTTGTAAAAGATTGGACTTTGTTCGCTGAGCAACGTTGAATCTTTCTGCAAGTTGTTTTTGAGTTTGACATGCATCTTCATCCAATAGTGCTTGTAATTGTTGGTCTTCAAACTATTTGACCCGACCCCCACTGAAGCACCTCGCAGTTTTGTCACAGTTGTATTGAAGTATCTTAAAATGTCTCCAGGATGTGTGTGCATTGGTGTCTCCTTGATCCCCTGAAAAGGCATGTGCAAGGCAGGGGAAGCAGGTGGTAGGCAGCTGGGAGAGCAGGTTTGCGAAGGGGAAGAAAACTAGAAAAGGCACCCTGGCAGAACGGAAGGAGCACAGCCTTTGTGTAGAACCTGTGAGGGTTGGTGTGATGGTTAGTTTATCTTTTGGTCAACTTGGTTGGGCCAGGTAGCCAGATATTTTAAGGTCGAAGGTGAATCTGCATGTTTGGCTGAAGGTGTGTTGAGGATGAGAGTTTAAATCAGCGGCTTACACTGAGCATCCTGCCCTCCATGTCGTGAAGGGGCCTCTCCAGTGACTAGAACGGAGGTTGACCTCCTTTTAGCAAGAAAGGATTTTGCCAGCAGCTCACCTTCAAACCTGGACTACACCTCTTCCCCGCACCTGTAGCTCGTTGGCTTACCCTGCAGATTTCAGATTTGCACCTCAAGGATCATGTGATCCTATTAATGCAGTGGTCGCCTTCCTGCTCTTTCCTGGTCAGTGTGTCACTTATTGTGTCTTAAATTCCTGGAAAAGAGTCTGCTTCCCTGGCGTTGGGTCAGCTGACTCCCTTCTTGCTGTTACAGGGATCAGAGTGAGTGCGAGTCTGGCCCTCTTGGCTTTTGTAGAGGGAGGCAGGGACTGTGGTTAAACTGTCCACTGGTATGAAACACCAGAGAAGGTATTTCTCCCTAATGAAATTGGGGTGCTGTGAAGAAGGGTTATGGATGCCAGGCAACCCAAATCTGAAAACCCACTGCTGTAAATGGGAACAGACATCTTACAAATAAGTGATTCTTTACAAAGAAGGTGATGAGGAAATACATTTTTCTTTCATAGTGTGAGCATAACTGACAAAACTCAAAAATGAAAAGCAGAAATATGAACACTGGGAGACTCAAATGCCTCCTCAGAGAGCAATAGAAGTATCAGAGACACTGCAGGAAAGTGAGATAGAATAGTGTTTCAGGAACAGGCTCGAAAGCTCGAGTCCAGGTGTTTGAATCCGAGCTACACCACTTAGACCTTAGGTCTCTCTCTAACCTCTGGGCCTCAATTCACGTATAAAGCTACTTGATACGAACAGTGCCTGCATCACCAGTTCCATGTGCACGTGAAATTAATTAACATACGGAAATGCCTAGAGTAGAGCTTTTCATTTATCAGTAGTTCTGATTAGAAGTGGAAAATAATCTGGATGTGAAATAACAAAAGGAAAAGCTACAGATTTCCTTGTATTGGGTAGATCTTCACTTCTCAAATGCCCAATCAATCCCTGGTACTGATGCTGTTATAATAAATGCCCCTTTGATCCACTTAACAAGAGGCAGTCACTGTTGCTAGAAATAAAAATAAAAAAAATTGATGCAAACATGTATTTCTCTCATGTTTTCTAATTACAAAACTGATCTTTTAAATCATATGCTCCACCACGCTCCGTGTATGTGACACTGGATGTGATATACTATCCTGTATGTATCTATAAGTATCCTATATAATAAAAGGCTAATATGCAAATTGTCCCCTTGACCAGGGGACAATTGTCCCCAGTTTGATCAGGGGATGGGGCTGGCCAGCCAACCTCCCACATCTCCTCCCTCTGGCCATCCTGGCCCAATCTGCCCAGATCGGGGTGGGTTGGCCAGACCCCACCCATGCATGAATTCGTGTACCAAGCCTCTAGTTCTATAATAACACCAAATAGTCTCAAACACAACTAACATTATGTGGCACATAGTAAGAGCCCTAAAATGCTTGTGAATGATGAGTAAATAATTAAATAATTGATAAATAGTTGTGTTGCAGAATAAGGAGAAGAAAGTGTTATTTATGGTTGGTCTTTTTTTTTTTTTTTTTAAATCATGCATCATGTGTTCAGAGAAACTAAGTTTTAAATTAATCATAATTTATTATTTTGCCTCTGTATTACAAACTCAGAAAGCTTTCTCTCTCTTGTGCCTGAGATTTTAATTCATATTAAACATTTATAAACTGAAAAAGAAATAATTATCCTTAAAGAATATTATGAAAAATAGAGGACATCAGATATTATTCCTAAACTAGAGTCCCGGTGCATGAAATTTGTGCAAAAAGGAGGGGAGGGGTACCTTCAGCCCAGCCTGTACTCTCTCTAATCCAGGACCCCTCAGGGGATGTCCAACTGCATGTTTAGGCCCAATCCTGGGAATCAGGCCTAAACTGGCAGTCGGACATCCCTCTCTCAATCCTGGACTGCTGGCTAATTGCTCACTTGCCTGCCTGCCTGGTCACCCCTAACTGCTCCCCAACACACTGGCTTGGTCAACCCTAACTGATCCCCCTGTTGGCCAGATCACCCCCAATTGTCGCCTCCCTGCCAGCCTGGTTGCTCCTAATTGCCACCCCCCAAAATGGCCTGGTCACCCTTACTGCTCCCCCTGCCAGCTTAGTCACTCCCATCTGTCACTCCCATTAGCCACTCCCACCATTGGGGAAAGTTGAGTGAAGGGTGCAGGAGGAGCCTCCATCCTCCAGCTCTCTGCCCTGTACATTTATCTGCAATTTCCTATGGAAAAAAGTTAAAATGAAAAAGTTAAAATAAGTAAGTTTATTTATGATGAGAATAATAACAATAAAAAAATAGGTATTTACCCCTACACTCCTGTGCCTAAAGGAAAAGTTTGGAGAAATTACTGTTGTCTGTGCTAGTCTAAAAAATATTGAGATTTATTGCTTTCCCAGGAGGCAACTGCCTCATATTGACCTACCACTTGGGGAAAGGACTCCTTGCTCCTTACCCCTCCTCCCACTTCTAACAGGAACTCCAGTCCTTAAGTTCTGCATTCTTACCACGACAACCACCCCTTCCCCTTAATGTGACAGAGAAAAGAGAGATGGAGAGAGAAGAGAGAATGTTTAAGTTATTAATTAAGAAAGACAATAATAATGAAATATTTTGACACTTATAAGACTAATGGCCTGGTGCACAAATTTGTGCACATTGAAAGGAAATTAATTGGAAGAAGTATTTTAATATTGCTATTCACTCTTTCTTATAATAGAAGTGTCAATCAAATTCACAATCAATAATGACAGATGGAAACCCATGTGTGCGATTGGTGCCAGCGAGAGCTTTATTTATATAGATAAACTTGCTTAATTAGACCTGCTTTCTGACATAGCTAATTTTTTTTCCAGCCCAGCAAAGCACCCCACTTCTCTTTCAGGTAATTTGTCGGAAACACAGCAGTAAATATCAACACAAAGCAAATTATTATTGTAGATCATGCAGGGAGAACAAAGGGTAAAATATTTAACTGCGACAGTGTCTGACTATATTCTACCCAGTGAGAAAACCCGAGTTATTTTCAAGGTCCACCATTTCTTCTTTTCAGTGGGGTCAAGTTTCTAAGCTTTCTACATCTTCATTTTCTGGCTAATGAAAAGAAAATAGGATTTTACTGAGTCTCCTATCTACCTACTCTCGGACTTCTGTGAGGATCAAATGAGATGAGGCACGTGAAAATGCTTCACAGACATTTGGTTACAGTATACATGTTCCTACCTGGGTATAAAGCAAGTCATGCTCCTGGGCTGAGGAAACTGCAAGGAAGCTAGTCGCTAGGGAGAGGAAGCCGGGCGTTGCTACGTGATGTCATTATCCAGCGCCCACATTGACCATTTCCTGGTTGGCCATGGGATCTCTGCAGCCTTGGTTGCGATTTGGTGGGCTGTTTCTCTGGGTTGATGGCACGGCCTGCGTCCCATTTGGGGGAAGCTGAGTGTTGCTTTGTTGGCCAGGTCCACACTGTCGTTTCTCTATAAATGGCAAGTGTGTGTCACAGCAGCTCTTACATTGACCATCTGTTCATGGTGCACATCATAGCAATTGGTCAGACAGTGGGAAGGACACTTAGCATATTAGCCTTTTATATGTCCCGTTTAGTAAAAGAGTAATTTACAAATTGAGCATCACTCTAACATACAAGATGGCTGCCCCATGTGGACACAAGATGGCCATCACAAGATGGCCAGCAGAGGAGGGCAGTTAGGTGACCAGGCTAGCAGGGGAGAGTAGTTGGGGGTGACCAGGCCTGCAGGGGAGGGCAGTTGGGGGTGACCAGGCCTGCAGGGAAGGACAGTTTGGGGGAGACCCAGACTTTCAGGGAAGGGCAGTTGGGAGTGACCAGGCCTGCAGGGGAGGGCAGTTGGGGGTAACCAGGTCAGCAGGAAAGGGCAGTTGGGAGTCACCAGGTCAGCAGGGGAGAACAGTTGAGGGTGACCTGGCCTGCAGGGAAGGGCAGTTGGGAGGGACCAGGCCAGCAAAGGAGGGCAGTTAGGCACAATCAGGCCAGCAGGGGAGAAGTTAGGCATCGATCAGACTGGCAGGGGAGTGGTTAGGGGCAATCAGGCAGATAGGCAGGTGAGCGATTGGGAGGCAGCAGTCCTGGATTGTGAGAGGGATGTCTGACTGCCAGGTTAGGCCTGATCCCACCAGGATCGGGGCTAAACGGGCAGTCAGATAGCCCTTGAAGTTTCCCAGATTGGAGAGGGTGCAGGCTAGGCTGAGGGACACGCACACCCCTCACCCTCCCATGCATAAATTTCCTGCACCGGGCCTCTAGTATATGAATAATAATGTTATTCCTGAATGAGGTTACAGGTTATTTAATTTATTTTTATCTGTATTTTCTGATTTTTCTACAAGTAAGTACTTAAACAATAAAAACAGTAAAAGGTAGCAATTTTGTGTGGGTGACAAAGTAATGGTTTTACTTCGGTCCTGCTTACTGGAGTGCTGAAGTTGTTCCTTTCAGTAGTTTTTGTACATCCTCAGTATTTATGCCTTTAGGGTAGAGGACTCTCAGAATCTGTGCTCGACAGTAGACTAAATATGGGAAGAAAATCGATATGAGAACTTTTTATTTAAATAGAAACGAAATCTAAGGTCCTTTTTATGACCTTTTGTCTGATTCTTTTAATTAGCCATTGTATGCATATGTTAGCAAAATATATTTTTATTTCTAGGCAATGGAACTATACAGACAAACTCATGGAGAACTTCAAGCCACTATAGAAAACTGTGAAAAGATGAAATTGAAAATTTCACAAAATAGAGACGAAATGGAAAGAGATATTGAAAAGGATGTAAAAAGCATCCAAGCCTTCAAGTAAGAATTTTTCACAAATCCTACTTATATAATTTAGAAGTATATTAATTAAAAGGTAATTTATATTCCTGTATGAAAATTTATATAAAGATAAAGGAAGGAATCTAAAGTACCCTTTCTATCTTATCAAGCTTTATATAAATTAAAATATGTATCTTTACATGTGTGAATCTATGTGTGTACAGGTTCATAAAGCACTGTTTTTTTATGACATTTGAAAGCTCTTTATACATCTTGCTATATTGTGGATATGATATAGCAGTGTAGCTATCCCTGCTATCTATGTGCAAAAGTGACTAACATTTTTTTCAGCATGGGATATTATTAAAAACAAATTATATAGCCTTGTAATAATTATAAACATAGCATCTGATTATCTTAATTTCAATTTATTTGATTTCTAATAAAATGTAATATTTAAAAATTATGTAGACTATATTTATTGGGGTGACATTAGTTAATAAAATATATAATTTAATTGTTTTTTATTTTATTTTTGATATATTTATGTTTTATAATATTTCATCTAATCCCACTTGTTATCTTTAAGTTTTTATGGTTCTGTGTATTAGAAAATTTCCTTTATTAAAATTGATCAATGATTTAGTATAGAAAAACTCATTTTATTTTTACTGAATTTATTGGGTTGATTCTGGTTAACAAAATTATACAGGTTTCAGGTGCACAATTCTACATCTATTGTAGAGAAGATCTTATTTATATACAGCTAGAATTAAGTAAGCATAAGCAAGATGAATAACAAAATTTATTTATAAACCTATGATCTAGATAACATCCATTAAGATCTTTATATTTACTCAGTCCTATGTCCATTTTAACATGTGTTTAAATATAACCTATTATTTAATATATAAATTACTTTAGTAATCCATCTGATTTGTTATATCTTCATTGTCATTTAGCTAATATGTTTTCTAATTTTTATTGTGATTTCCTCTTTTACCCATGGGTTTTTAAGAAATATATTTAAAACTTTTCCATGATGAATTTCTATTTTGTAGTTATTGTTTTCCAGCTGATTTACACTTCAGTCAGGGAACATTATGTGTTTTTTTTAAATTATCTTTAATTTTGAAAGAATTACAGATTTCTCATTTTTCTCTCCATTGAGCCCATCCAGCCTCCATCCCCCCAGGCCTTCACCTCACTATAGTCTGTGTTGATGGGTCATGCACATACGCATATGAATTCTTCGGTTAATCTCTTCTTGCCCCCCCACACCCCCTCTTTCTCTGAAATTCATGAGTCTGTCTCATGTTTCTATATCTCTGGATCTATTTTGTTCATCAGATTATTTTGTTTATTAAATTTTACATATGAGTGACATCATGTGATACTTGTATTTCTCTGACTGGCTTATTTTGCTTAGCTTAATGCTCTTCAGGTCCCTCCAGGCTGTCTCAAAGGGTAAGAGATCCTTCTACTTTATAGCTGCATAGTATTTCATTGTGTAAATGTACCACCAGTTTTAAAATTTTTTTAAAATATATTTTATTGATTTTTTACAGAGAGGAAGGGAGAGAGATAGAGAGCTAGAAATGCCGATGAGAGAGAAACATCGACCAGCTGCCTCTTGCACACCCCCTACTGGGGATGTGCCTGCAACCAATGTACATGCCCTTGCCGGGAATCGAACCTGGGACCTTTCAGTTCGCAGACCGACGCTCTACCACTGAGCCAAACCAGCTTCAGCCAGTTTTAATTTTTGATAATTAAAATTTTTTCTTATATTTCCTACATAACCATATCACTATCACTTATGAATTTCAAATAAACTACCAGTCTATTATTTTATTTGTAAGTAGAGGCCTGATGCACGAAGTGTGTGAACTCAGAGGAAGGGTGTTCCCTCAGCCTGGCCTGTGCCCTCTCATAGTCTGGAAGCCCCACAATCGATTGCCCCAAAGAGGGAGGCCCAGGCTACCTGGCCGGGCTCCCTCCGTGATGGATCACCCCCACAGTGTGAGTCCTCACCTATCTGTCCCAGCCTGCCAGTTGATGGTCTGGGCCTCCCTCTTCGGGGCAATCGTGGGGTGATGGCAGGGCCCCAGACCAACACATCGCACCTGCCTTGGCTGGCCTTGCGCCAGTGGGTGTCATAGCGTGGTCTTCCAGACGGTCATTCCTGTGTTTGGCCATTCAGTTGATTTGCATATTACACTTTTATTATTACAGATATCTAAAAATAATAATATCTAAATAACCCCATCTGTAGATGATAACTTTGTCACTTTGTCACTGTACTTTTTATGCATATTAAATTAGAATAACATTGCCTAAGGAGACTTTTATATTTGGCATTTAAATATAAAAAATATAAACATATTTATATTTCCACCGACCAGAGGAGAGAAAGCATTACATGGTTCACAGAGCGGTGGGAAGTCACAGAGAAGCAGAGAACCCCTTGGCAATGACCTCTTTCAAATGAGCCTCTTGTTACCAAGGACAGTTGCTCCTGTTTCACCTCAAGAACTGCGTTGCCCTTTCACGTTTACATCTTCTCTATTTGTTTCTTTAAAATTTTTTTCTTTATTTTATTTTTTGCCATCACAATTTATCCCCCTGTACCTTCTTCCACCTCCACCCCCTCACTTGCAATTATCTCTTTCTCTTCTTTTTTTTTTTTTCTTGTTTTTCGATCTCTGTGCTATCCTACATATGAGTTAAAGGTCTCTCACCTGAAATCAACTTAAACAAGTAATGTATTTTATAATTTACAAATGTTTTATTTTTATTAAATTTATTGGGGTGACATTGGTTAATAAAGTTACATAGGTTTCAGGTATACATTCTATAATCCATCATTTATTTGTCTCAATTCATTTACATTGGAAACATAAATACTATTGGCAAATATTTCTCGCGGTTTACTTTTGATATATAGGTGATGCTTTTAAGGAGTTGCTTGTGGATGGGAGAACTTTCAAGAATACATGAATTTCATTGATTTATATTAAGTCAGAAGCTAATTTAAATATCCCTAATTTTAATATAATTTTCCTTTCAATGTAGATAAAATCACCGGTGTGTTTTTCCCTTAGGAAACAGATGGAAAAGCTTCAAGTCCTGTTTGAACACTATACCAACTTGATTGAAAACGTGAGCGAAATCATTGAGAAAGATGAGGAGAACGTGATGGTCACTCTGCAGGAAACACAGACATCCACAGATGAATTATCTAATCTAATAAAAGTGGTGAGTCTTCGTGTTCTAAACAATAAAATGTCCTGATCTCAATTTTGGTTTCCTATGGCCACATAATGGATTATCAGAATTTTAGCTGCTTAAAACAGCACCTCTTCATTACCTCCAAGTTTCTCGGGCCACGGCTCAGCTGGTTGCTCTCCTGCAGGGCTTCCAAGCCTGGAACCAAGGTGTCCCAGCCCTGCGTTTCTTCCTGGAGGCTCCAGGATGAGCCTGCATCCAGGCCTACTGGGTTTTGATAGGATGCAGGTGCTGTGGCTTCCTTAGTGCCGGTCAGCCTAGGATCAATCTCTAAGTTCGTTGTTTTTCTAAATATATTTTCACTGATTTCAGAGAGGGCTGGAAAGGAAGAGAGAGAGAGAGAGAGAGAGAGAGAGAGAGAGAGAGAGAGAGAGAGAGAGAGAGAGAGAGAGAGAGGGAGAGGAACATCAATGAATAGAGAGAAGCATGGATTGGCTACCTCCTGCACACCACCTACTGGGGATCCAGCCACAACCTGGGCATATGCCTCAGATGGAGACTCGAATAATGACCTCCTGGTTCATAGGTCGATGTTCAACCCCTGAGCCATGTGGCCCATTCTGTGCTTGTTTTCTCCTGTTGGTAGTTTCTTTCAATTTTAAACCAGGAATAGGGGTTTAGTATCACCCTGACCTTCCCTTGGGACTCATCTTCTCTGTCTTTTCTTCTGCCATATCTCATTTACTAGAGTGAAAGGAAATAATTGTAAAAGGAAGTTATAAAATGGTAAAAATAAATAACAGTATCTTTTAACAGGCAATAATATACACATTCTGGTACCAACTTGCATTCCTACCTAAAGTCAAAACTGCATGTCTTTTTTGCCACTTTCTATTACCTCTCTTTAATTGTATCTGATTTTTAAAAATCCATAGTTATTAGTGAACTGAGCATATTTTAATGGCTTTTGGGGGGTCATTTGTACTGTCTTTTCTGTGTAAAACTTGCTCATGGCTTTTATTCCTAATATGTTGAGTGATTGCTTATTTTTTTATTTGTAAGACTTTGTTGTTTATTATGGATACTAAATAGTTTTAAGTGCCATATTTAAAAATATTTTCATCTAGATTTTTTTCATTTCTTTATAACTTCTGGTAAATGAAATTTCAATGTTAATTTAGTAAAAGTTACAAATTATTTTCTTTGAACATTGTGATTTTCTGAGCTTGCTTAAGAAACTTTTTTCTACCTCAAAATAAAAAAAATAACTTGTGGTATAATTTTGCAAATGTCTTGAAATTTTGCTTTTCATATTTACAGAGTGCTCTTAGATGAAGCTATGTTCAAAATAGTAAAAATTGAGGTTTTTTTTTTTTGTCATTCTATCTTTTCTGTACAAGTTTGTAAATAATAAGCTATCTCTGGAATTTTAGGAATGCATATTCCGTTTGCCAGGCATGAATCATAGTCAGTATGAAATTCACTTATGGGTAGGGTGTGAAGAGAGGCTCTAATCTTTTTTCCTTTTTTATTGAATTTATTGAATTTATTTATATATGACATCTACATATATAAATAAAGGCATAAGATGTAAATCGACTGTACCTTCACAACACCCACCAGCCAGTCAGGAGTGAGGATGCAAATTAACCCAACATAGATGCTTAAAACAGGTGCCAAGGGGCTGGGGGCAAGCATCCCGCCTCACCCCAGACACTCCCAGCTAGAGTGAAAAGGTGGCTCCGACCGGAGCGAAGGCAGTGCCGGCTGCCAGGGGAAAGAAGGCCCATTCTTGCACAAATCTTTGTGCGTCAGGCCTTTAGTCTATATATGTAAAAAGGAAGCAACCAGAATGACCGGAATCACCAGTCACTGTGATGCCTACTGTGGCCTGCCAACCAGCCCGATCAGGGGGTGAGACTGGCTGGCCAACCACTCACAGCTCGTCCCCCCTGCTGGCTCAGCCTCAGATGGCCCTATCAGGGCAGGCTGGCCTGATCCCACCCATGTATGAATTCATGCTCTATGCCCGTGACCAGCAAAGTGCAGCTCAAGAGCCACATGTGGTTCTTTGGCCCCTTGAGTGTGGCTCTTCCACAAAATACCACGGCCTAGGCGAGTCTGTTTTGAAGAAGTGGCATTAGAATAAGTTTAAGTTTAAAAAATTTGGTTCTCAAAAGAAATTTCAATTGTACTGTGGATATTTGGCTCTGTTGACTAATTAGTTTGCCGACCGCTGCTCTAGGCCTCTAGTCCTATATAATAACCCTACATAATAAAAGGGTAATTGACCAGAATCGAATGTGTCCTTGACCAGAATCATACTTAGAACCCTTCAGTCTGCAGGCTGACACTTTACCCACCGAACCAAACTGGCTAGGGCGTTGGAGAGACTTTTTGTACTGGATGAGCTTCATAATAAGTCAGATACAGACATCCTTGCAAGTAGAATCTTCAAAGAAACCACCAGACAGATCAAATAATGATAATTATCATGGAATGAAGCTTTGAGAGCATCCCAGTTTTGTTCTCCTGCCCCTGGTGGTCACCTGAATGCTGGTGTTCTCCACAGATGTGGAATGGTATTTCTCAAGGCTGCCAAGGACCACAGGAAGGAGGGATTGGAACAAGTTAAAATAGCACAAAGGGGGAACCTTTCCTCCTCCCCACAAGGGGGTCTGTACTTGTTCTTCAATAAATATCCACCTTTGCTATACAAAAACAAAACACAAGCAAAACACAGAGCTCATACTTCTTAGTAAGGTTAGGCTGGTTTTGCTGAATAAGTGCACCTCAGATTGTTAAAAGCCTTTAGTTAATCTCCAAACTTCTGAGCAAGTTAATTTTGACTTTTTTTTTTTTTTTTTTTTTTTTTTTTGCCAGTTTTCTCATTACCCTATGGAGGAGAATTTTTAGATGTTCTTACTCTGCCACTTTCATTGATGCCCGTCACTAGACTTATGTCTTGAAATGTTGGCTTTTAGTTCACATTTTTCAACAGTCTTACTTTTCCTTTAGTCTTGCTGACGCTGTCAAACATGTCAACAGTCTTTTTTATTTATGAGGCAAGGTAACAATCTCTTTTAGCTTAGGATTATACAGACAAACTCATATTGATTATTTTAATAATTTTCATTGTTTTGCATTTAAACTTTATCTGAAATTTAGTTTGTAATAATGTGAGTTTGATGTGCACTAAAAAGACCACTTTATTTTTTTAAAATAGATATTATACATTATTCCAGTTTCATTATTTAAAGTAAATGGTTTATTTCTTATTGAATTCAAATACCACCTTTAAAATATTAACCCAGATCTATTTTGGGCTCTAGTTTCTCCTCCTCCCCTCTAATCTTCATTACAATACCAAAAAATAAGTAGTGCTTTATTCTACTGGGATGGTATGATGTTTTTAATATCTGGTAGCAGATTTCCAACATAATTTTTATTTTTCATATGATCTATACTAATTTCATGCAGTTTGAAAAATAATATTTCTAGTATGCTTTACATTAATTTTGGGTTAACTGACATTGTATTTTATTAGATCTTTGTATGACATGCCATTTTTTAAAAAGTGGGTCTTGATTTAAACTTTTAAATAAAAATTTGTGTTTGCTTTACATAAGTCTTCTCTTTTATATTGGATTTATTATAAAATATCTTATATGTTTTTACCAAATTTTGTAAGTATTGCCACTATTTTTAAAATGTATGTTTTTATTGATTTTTAGATAAGAGAGGAAGGGAGAGGGAGAGAGAAAAACAAACATCAATGATGAGAGAGAATCATTGTTCAGCTGCCTTCTGCAAGCCCCCGACTGGGGATCCAGCCACAACCCAGGCATGTTCCCTGACTGAGAATCGAACCCCGGACCCCTTGGTCCATAATGACACTCAATCTATTGAGCTATATCATCTGGGTATCACTAGTAGGTTATTTCTCTTATAGAGAAGAGCTATTGTCTTATATTTATACAAGGGCATTTTACCAAAGTCATTTGCTATAGTTTTGGTTAGAATCTCTGTTTTCCTAGATATTAAATCAGATAATCTAAATTTGTATACATGTTACCTATTCACATTCAATATTATAATAGTAACATTTGGTTCCATTATCCAATTGCATTTAAACTTTCACAAAAAATGATTAATAGTGTTGAGAGAAGATAAGCCATTCTCATTTGTTAGTTCAGAAGGCATGTACTTAGCATTTTATGATTTATCTTGATGTTTGCTGTTGATTCTTTATATTTGGGTAGTCATTTCTTGTTCAAGTTTTAAAATTCTGGAAACTGGATAACTGAAAGTGTAAAATGGCTATTTGGTGAAGTGTTGGCTCTATTCATGTTATTTTCTTCTTTAATTTGTTGATGTGATGAAATATGACTTAAATGAAATTTTTATCTATTCTTACAACATAACCAAATGCATTTTATTTTATCATGATGAATTATTAATTTGGGTACTGTTAGACTTGGTTTTCTATATTTTATTCTGAATATGTAATATTTAAAAACAGCCTATGGTATTATTTTATACTATTTTAATCAATATTTATTAACTTATGATAACTGCATAAACTGAAATATAATCTGTTTCTTATTTTACAATATAATGTAATGCTCCACATTTATTTTTGTGTACATTTTTTCTTAGCTAGAAGATTTGAAAAGAATTTATGAACAACTAGTCTGGAGGAAAAAAAATTATGAAAATGAATATGAGGAAATGCTTGATAGTTTTAATTCTGCAGTAAGTTGACCTTGTCTGCTTCCCTCTAGATTTTCATTCTCTATTTCCAAACATTAACATATGCAACTAAAGTAATTTTATTATTTTGTATATTATTTATTTTTGAGATACATAAACATGTACAAATGATTCTTTTATTATTTTCTTAAAGAAAAAAGCATGGGAGATTGAGCTTTCTGATGTCATAAAAGATTATACAGATCTTGCAACAACATATAATAAATTCTTTGAAGAAAATAAAAAACTTGAGATAGATCTTGATACTACAGAAGATGAAATCCATAAAAGGTAATTCTGAAAACATAATTTTTATTTGTAGGTAACATACCTAATCCTATATAATAAAAAGTGAATATGCAAATCGACCAAGTGGCAGAACCACCAGTCGCTATGACTTGCACTGACCACCAGGAGGCAGACACTCAACGCAGGAGCTGCCCCCTAGTGGTCAGTGCATTCCCACAGCCAACTTCCTGTGCCCGGCTGGCTCCGATCAGCCCAGCTTCTAGTGTTAAATGTAATAAATCTCTTCATTTTGTGTTCTTGGGTTATATAGTAGTTGTTTATCTTAAATTTAAATTTTGTTTGTTCTGTTTCAAACATTGCTCTTTAATCACTCAGAATCCCTTTAGAAAAATCAAAATAGTGAAAAAAAATTACCTTATAAAGTGTTTCACTCTTAGTCATATCACCTCCTTTTGATGTATCCTCTTATACTCAAAGATACCTTAAAGTTAAAATATGTCTAATGAAGTTTATGATCTCCTTCACTCAACCCTCAATTATTCCCTGTAACTAAATTACTTTTCTTAGTTCAAAAACCTGACAAGTTTTTTTTAATCCTTGTTGTATTTCAACATTCATATTTAACATGTTAATAAGAAATGTTCCCCACACTAAATATTCTTTTTTTAGGTCTGTTTGCTTTCCACTGCTCCACCACAAGCTGTCAACATGTCTGACATGAATTTGCAGGGTCTTTCAAACCTAGTGCACATACAGTCTCTCTGCGCCCTTTATAATCTATGATCTCCACTGTGGAAGGGATGTTCTCTTTTTATGTTTGGTTATAAGTATGATGAGCTCCCCTCCATATCTGCATTGATTTTAGCTGAGGGAAAGGGACACTCCCCTCAGATATCTCATCTGCTCTGTAGCCTCACACCACACCTGGCCCTTTGTTTACCTGATTCATCTACTTTACTTTACTTGAATTTCTCCTACTTGCCTCATTTTCTTTCCAGCCCATAGGGCATTTTTATGTTATTTCTCTTTCCTATAGTGTTTTTCCTCTTTTACTTACTTGATTACTATATATTCTTAAGATTGCAGCTTAGGAGTCAGTTCTAGGAAGCTTTCGCCAACTGTCCAGTTAAATTCCGTTCCTCTGTTATGTATGTACTAGAGGCCTGGTGCATGGACTCATGCACTGGGAGGGTCTCTCGCCTGGCCTGTGACCTCTTGCAATCTGGGACTCCTCGGAGATGTTGGAGAGCCACTTTCAGCTTGATCCCCACAGGCCAGGCCCAGGGGCGCACACTGGGCCTAATGTGCAAAGTAAGATCTTTGGTTAATCTCTTCCCGCCCTCCCCTCGGCCCCCTCCCCTCTGAGATTCATCAATCTGTTCCATGTTTCCATGCCTGTGTGTTTAGCATCTACCCCCTGGTGGTCATTGTGCATCATAGCTACCAGTCAGTCGGCTGGTCAGCAGGTCGCTTCAGCTTTTATATATAGAGCTATAGTACACACACCTTTCTTCTTTATATCCCTTGTTACATGTGCAATTTTCTGTGTGTTAATATTTGACTGATGTATGTTGCCCTCAAACAACAATAATAACAAAGCAGAAGATCCATGAGGGCAGACAAACGTCATGACTACATTCTCTTCACCATTGATTCCTCCTCATCAAACACAGTGCCTGACACACACTGTGCTCTCTACGGTTAATTCCTGAAAGGAGCAAAGGATGGGAGAAGAGAGAAGTGATAATGCTACCTGATGATTGTGTAGGAAGGATGTTAACATATCTTGGTGGTTATGTTATCTTTGGAAATGATAGAATGAAGCCATTTGTAAAATGCATCTGTTAGGTTAAACATACATTTTTAAACAAAGCACCCACAACGTTGTTTTTTGAAGAGTAACCCAAAGCAGTAGCCGCTATTATTGCTACATTTTATTAAGAATGGGAACTGGAGGAGAAGAGTGGGTAAGCTGATAAGACCCTCTGGAGGAAGTGTTACAGATGTTCCTCCTTTTTCTCCCCATTGACCCTCTCTGCTCAGTCCTGCCCTGCCAGGCCTTCACCACCCTGTTGTCTGAGAGCACTGATTCGATTGTCCTACAGTAACGAACCACTCCCCCTCTCAGTGATACACAAGTGTAAACCCTTATTTCTCATTCGCGTTGCATCGCAGCCCCCGTTGCTGTGTTTGTGCTTCTCAGATCCAGGCTCAAGAGTCAGATGCTCCAGGGCCTCTCACTCAGATAGCGGGTGCACATCCATGAGGTCCCTGTGAAGCACACCTCATTGAACAGAGCAGGTCATGTGGCCATACCGGATGGCTACAGGGTGGGACCTCTCGTCCCCTTAAAAAGGAAGATGGTGAATAACCAGGAACACCGATGCAGTGCATCGCTCGCAGTGGGATGGGAGTCCCGCTTCTGGGAAGTATTACCTGGGATGCACTGGGCTTGTCCAGATAGCACATTAAGATGTCACTCGATTCCTTAATTTCTCTTGAACTTAAAAACTAAACAGATGATTTTAACAGCAGATTACACAGCGATGCACAGAGAATTCGCAGAGGCTTCGTAAGATAAGAGAGAGTTTAAGACACGCATGTGTAAGAGTCAGGTCTAGCACATACCTAAGTGATGTTCCGAAGGAAGAGAAGATAAAGGACAGAGCTGATGTTTGATGATGTCATTAACAGTTCATACGTTGCAAATAGTTCTTATGTATATTTCTTTCCTTTTTATTGAATTTATTGGGGTAACACTAATTAACAAAATTATACAGGCTTCAGGTGCACAGTCTACAACAGATCATCTGTGCACTGTATTCATTGTGTGTTTACCACCCCAAGTCTGGTCTCTCTATCACCATATATGCCCCCTATAATATAGAGCCTAAGACCATCAGAAAACACAGATATTTACATTATGATTCATAACAGTAGCAAAATTACAGTTATGCAGTAGCAACGAAAATAATTTTATGGTTGGAGTCACCACAACATGAGGAACTGTATTAAAGGGTCTCGGCGTTAGAAAGGTTGAGAACCACTACCCTATATCCTCTCCTCTTCCTCTCCCTCCCCCCTCCCTTCCCCAGGCAGTCGCCTCACTGTTGTCCTTATCTATGAGTTTTTTGTTTTTTCTTCTCTCTCTCTCTCTTTCCCCCCCTCCTCCCACATATAATTAACTCACCCATAATGCCTTGGCAGGGCCTGACCAAATGATTTTGCTGGCCTTATATGGCCCGTGGGCTGGACATTCCCCACCCCTGCTTTAGGCAATGGCCAGGAAGGTGGAGCAGCTGGAACTCCATACACACTCCTAGTGGGAGTGAAGTTGTGCAGAGAAGATGGCAGCACTGTTTACTGCTGAACTAACTGCATTCCACTCCCAGGTGTGTGCACAGCAGTCAGCCATGCACATGCTCACCAGAACCACTTCTAAGATGTTCAAAGCATTAGTTTAATAGCCACAAGCTGGGAAATGCTTCAGTGAACCTGACGAATAGAATGCATGAGGAAATTGCCGAAACCGGTTTGGCTCAATGGATAGAGCGTCGGCCTGCGGACTGAAAGGTCCCGGGTTCGATTCCGGTCAAGGGCATGTACCTTGGTTGCGGGCATATCCCCAGTAGGGGGTGTGCAAGAGGCAGCTGATCGATGACTCTCTCTCATCGATGTTTCTAACTCTCTATCTCTCTCCCTTCCTCTCTGTACAAAATCAATAAAATATATTAAAAAAAAAAAAAAGAATGCATGAGGAAATTGTAACATACTCATACAGAGTGGACAGATTTCAGCTCCGTAGAACAGCTTGTATAAACCTCATAATCCTAACATTGAGCAAAAGAAGACACACAGAGACTATAGGATCCTGGTTAAAATAAAGCAGAAGAGAGGCGGGCGGTGGAGAGGAGAGGGTCAGTGGGGAAAAACCAAAAACAACAAAGGGGATATCTGTACCACTTTCAACAATGACGATACATTTTAAAAACATAAATAAAGTAAATAAAGTAAGCAAGGCTCCACGGTCCTGCCAGGACTCAGGGCGGCAGCTCCTGGGGCGGCCGTGCCTGAGAGCACAGGAGAGCAGCTCCTGCTGGCAGCTTCGCTTGCTTTACATCAGATGGAGGCTGTGACCTGCACGTCCACAGTGAAGATTTAAGAACTTTGATTGGCATGCTCTTCTGTGTAACGATTTACATTTATGTTACATTTAAAAAAAGACAGTAAGTTTACATAAATTGTTAATTTAGCCCAACAAACAGTGCATCCACTAATTTAATCATTTAAAGTTGAGATATGTGTGTGTGTGTGTGTGTGTATGAAAGTCTCTGCCTTCAGCGAGTCTACAAGGATACAAGGATTATTATAGAAGCTATACTTGATTAGCAGCCTAATAAGTGTAATAAGAAAGGCAGAGAAGACTTAAGTTAGCAGGAGATTCTGGAGCTGCAACTGATTTTAGCCACTAATGATATGATTGCCTGTGGGTTTTTCCTCCATTCTTTTCTGGGGTTTGCTGCAAGCACTCTGCCTTCTGTGAGGTTCTCCAATTTATTTTATTGTTCTTTCTCTTGAACATAGTAGAGCAGTAGGGATGTTTTACACATAAAATAAAACTAAAATGCATCCCTCTGCACGGCTGTGTGCCTGCTGCCCTACCCCCGTTTGCAGGCGTGAGACCTGTTGTATCTCCCCGCTTTCCGGATCCACGAGGACTCGCCTCAGGCCTGCCCGATTGTTGATGTGCATTAAATGTTTGTTGAATAATACTTTTGGTAGAAAATATTCATTTGTAGAACACTATACAAGGTCACATGAGATGCAGAAAACTATAGAAAGATCAATGGTTTTTATCATTTAGTGGTGAATGTTGGAATTAGTGTCATATATCTTTATGTTAACTTTACACAAAGAGTGATTTTATAATTTTGTAGTTACACGGAATAGACTAATACTGTAACTTCATGTTTATGACTAAATTCATAAAGTGATGCTGTTTTGATTAATGTTCTTTAGAGGAATAAATTGACTCAGGCCAC